TCTCAGTTCGATAGAGACTTCTCAGATCAGCCAAAGATCAGGCCCAAAGGGTAAACACTCAGTCTCTGCAGCCTCGTGCCTGGCACAGAGCCTGGCACAGAGCCTGGCACACAGCAGGCATTTCATGAATAGAAACTAAAGAAATTCATGAATGAGTTTTGCTCCTGGTAGGTTTTACGGACTTTCCTTCCCCTCAATTGTTTTACAATAGGGAGACCTCTCAAATCTCAAATCTGCCCCCGTGGGCGTTTTGGGGGCTTCATTCTCTGTTGTGGGACATCCTGGGAACCTCAGCCTCCACACGGTAATACCTTAGCCAATACTCTTTCCCTGCGGTGGGGGGAACCATCAAAAACGTCTGCAGATGCTGCCTCGGGCAAAGCTGCCCCCTCTGGAGGACCACCGAGCCACCTCTGCCGTTTATTCCACAAATCACTGAAGGCAACAAAAACATAGCACCCAAAGACCCTCTACTTCAACCTGCTCTTAGCAGGGAGTGACACTGCTTTTCTCTCTTTCTACTCCAGGCACCTCTGAAAATCTGGTAGCTATTTGCCCTCTACATCTGTGTCTCCAGGGGATACATAGCAGCAGCTAGGGGGCCCACAAGACCCCAATTCTCCAGTCTCTCCTGGTCTTGAATGGCAGCCAGGTCCTGGGAGCAAATGGAGTTGGAGCACTGGACGTCACCGTAGTCAACACGCTCGGCCTCTGATCACAGACAGCTGAACCTCACTTGCAGGGATCATCCAGGCTGGACTAGTACTGTAGGTCGGGTATTGAGGTATGTTCTTGCACCCCCAAACTGCCAACTCGGTTTTGCCGGTGCCCTCTGTGGGCAAACTGTGACTTACTACACGGAGCCTCATTCCTGGGCTGGGATCTTCTCCTTGAAGTTCTGGCAGACCATCAAAGGTCTGGGGTAGGAATCTTGGCAACGAGACGAAGCCACGTACCAACCACGTAACAAGCCCAACCTGCTTGGGTTGTGGCTTCACCTCCCTTTTGCTGCTCTGGTGGTGCTAATGGGATGGGCTGCAAAGAGCTTGACAGCTGTGATGGGGGACAGGGTCTTGGTGGGGGTGTGTTGCGCCTAATGGAGGCGATCTCTTCTTGAGAAATCACACCGATTTCTCTTTCTTACATAGGCTGCTGGCCTCAAGAGGCGGCGACAGACACGCGAACAGAACTCGAGACTGAGAGGCTCTTGGGACTGCAGCCCTTGATGTGACTCGGCACGCGGTGCTGGGCTGGGCTCTCCGCTGACCCCAGGCCTCCAAATACCCTTCACATCCCTGGCGAGACGAGGGCTGCCAGGCAGAGGGCTCCCAGCGGAAAATTCCCAGCTTCGGTCACCTTAATAAGACAGGTGCTCCTGTCTGTAGGGTTCAGAAGTTTCCAGGGAGAAGCAGAAAAAAGAAAAGAAAGTGTTGCAATCCCCTCCTTTGGCCTGGCTGGCAGTTTGTGCGATGGGAGCCGTGGACAGCAGTGACCCAGATAACCCTGGTCTGAATTCACAAGCATCAAAAATCTCGCGACAGCCTGCCCACCAGCCCTTCAGCTTTCTGCACAGAAAACGTGTTCCTGTTTATGATGCCGACAGCATCAGCTTACAAAGATGGACTGGGAAAAAGAGCTGGGGAAGCTTGTGCTTCGGATAAAAAAACAAAAGAGGATCTTGATGCACAACTGTTCGTTTCGCGGCAACAGATTCATTTTAGTTCACAGCACCGGTTCTCACCCTGTCTCTGCCGGAAGGAAAAACAAAGCCCCTGGCTCTCACGCAGCCATTCAACAACTGTGTCGTGAGCACCTGTCCCATGTCGCTACCCTGCTGCTGAGGTCGGGGATGAAGCGGGCAGCCATGTTTGTGGCGCTCACAAGAGAACCTGTGAATGCAGCGTGAGCTAGAAGCCCGGGACCAGAACTCTGCTGGCTTCCAGATGAGGGTGGGAGTGGGGTGTCCGGGAAGGCCCCCGCAGAAGTCATCACTGAGCTGAGCAACAATGGTTGGATGCTCCCCAGCTGGGTGCCACAGAGATGGGAGCCCTGGAAGGGGACAGGGCCGAGTGTTGTCCCCAGGGACTGTGCATCCCCCAACCAAGGAGGGGTTTTAAGCAGAAAATGACAAGGTCAGATTTCATTTCAGAAGGAAACCCAAGGGGTGGAGAGGAGGATGTTAATTATTTACAGTGTGCAGAGAAGCAGTTTGTTTGGGAATGGTTTGCCTTGCGAGTTGGCTGTTTCCCTTATTCTGGGTCCCTGGCTAATGATATTCACAACATAACAAGCGGCTTGGAGCCCAACTTCCTTCCCTCCCTCCTGATGCGTGCATAAGCAGCCTGGATGTGGCAGTCCAGAGTGTGTGGAGTTGGGGTCTCACGAGGTCTACTTCTCCTAAGATTTAATTGTCGTTCCCAATTATGCCTTGTTCTCAGGGCTGTGACTGCTGGGCTTGGTGAGGAAGGTTCTAGCTGTTGCATAGGCTGGCGATCCTCTGGGGCAACAAATGTGCAGGGCTGAGCCTTCCGGGGCTCAGTGTTTACTACGCTTGCAGTAGCCGACGCCTCCAGGCCAGGCGGGGGTGACTCAGAGCCTGCGGGCTGCATGCAGAGTTCCATTCGCCTCCCATGTCCTCGTCGCCTGCTGGCGTTCCCAGACCCAGCACCATCAACATGCGGGGCCCGCTTATCCTTTATGAGTTTGGGGTTGCCCTACGCATCACAGGACATTTGCAGGATCCCTGGTCTCTAACCACTAGTTGCCAGTGGCGCTCCCAAGTGGCAACAACCAAGCCGTCCCCAGATGCTGCACCCCTGGATAGCTTGTACCCCACTGCTTTTCTCAGCAGCACTCAGACTACTGCTCTTGAACTTGCACTTGCTGGTGCACTCTCCTTGTTTTCCTTGGAACTCTCTGGCCCATTCTTTGTAGCCTCCTCATTCTGATCCCTAAATGCTGTCATCCCTTAATGCCCTGACCTGAATGTCTTTCCCATGACACGATGCTTTTTCCTTCTCATCCCTCCCAGGATTTAAGCATTTGTCAAACCTGTCTCCAATCCAGTTCATTCATCTCGGTTCCAAACTCTTTTCTATTTGTTCTAGATGTCTCATTAGCAGCATAACATCCACCCACCCACCCACCC